CATATATATATTGTAGACCATGAGCTGGAAGTGCCAAACTTTACATTACATCGACGCTACAGGGCAATCGTAGAGGAGGTGGTGTGGCTGTTTTTATTTCAAACAAGTTTTAACATTTTAGGCAAGTAATAGTGACATAATCTGGGTTAAAATTTTAATTTAAAGGAACCAGAAAATTCTCGCAGGTGTCTGCTACAGACCCCCGAACACCGACAGAGAATCAATAATACAGTTTGTTAAAGCACTAGATAAAGGATATTGAAAGCTATCCTTACGATAACTTGTTGATACTTGGTGATTTCAACTTACCTGATATCACATGGCATAGTAGTGATGGAACATTGTGTACCATCAAACTCATTTTCTGAACTATTCATGGACAATGTCATCCATGGACAGAATACACTCAGTGTAACAATTTTAAAACGTGCAATAACAAAACCCTTCACTTAGCTCTGTGCAATAGTACCAATATAATATATTTTTGCAGGAGAGAATATTTTTTATCAGATCATCAATCCATTTCATTATCCCTTCAATTTGTAAACAGTAATTATAATTTTAATTTTAGAAATAATAATCGTTATCATTTTAATTACAGACGAACTAATTTTGGTGAATTAACAAAATTCTTAATAGAATTCCTTGGAAAATCCTTGAATTTTTTTTATCAGATCATCAATCCATTTCATTATCCCTTTAATTTGTAAACAGTAATTATAATTTTGATTTTAGAAATAATAATCGTTATCATTTTAATTATAGACGAACCAATTTTGGTGAATTAACAGAATTCTTAATACGGACGACGTTAATGAACGTGTTACTTTATTTTATGACATTGTTGATGCGGCTGTCTTGTTCCCATTACAAAACTACGAAAGAAAAGTTCTCCTTGGTTTGACTCCAAACTTCTAAGAACTATAAAATCAAACGAATATCATCATAACATATTGAAAAAATTTCCGTCAATAATATCTGAGCAAAATTTCCGGGAGGCCAGAATAAATTTTAAAATAGTCTACTATCTAACATGAAACATGAAACATACTTACAGTCCATTTCTTCTGATCTTGGAACAAATCCAAAACGCTTTTGGACTTGGATTTAATCTAAACGAAAGTCTGTAAGTACATGGGTCGCTGACATTCTGCATACGAAGGCTATTTTATTTAATTATTTTTTTTTTGTGATTCTGCTTTCTCAGAATTTGGCGACTTTGGCGAGTGTCCTGCTCTGCCAGGAGTGTATGGTGATGTCTTCAACAACATAAGTATACACCAAGATGAGGTTGATAAGCTCTTGGGGTGCATCGACACACATAAGGTGGCTGGAAATAATCCAATATACACTGTCAGGTCCCCCAATTTTGTTCATCTTCTTTAGCCCTTCCTATTAAAAAAAAAAAAAGTTATTCTTTAATGTCTGGTAAATATTTCGGTCGCGGGTCGTATATATATATATACGTTCTCCCAGTACACTAAATTAAACCTATGGCATTCCAAATTCTTCTGGATAAATCATTTGGCTTATTTATTGAGGCACGCCTCTAAAGTTTAGTTTTGGCCTTCCTGTATACTTGTTTAGACTGT